GCTGGCTTCAGAGGTCTGGTTGCATCATGTGGTTTGTCCAGCTTAGGGCATTAGGGTAGTTCCATGCGTCTTGTCAGCTGCAACGTCTCAAGTGGGAATCCAAGGCTTGAATTTTTTTCCTGAGTTCTTTCAGTGTAAGATACGCTGAGTGGGTTTTTCCTTTTTGGTTTCCTGGCTGTACGTCTGCACATTTCATTATAATATCTTTCTTTGTCTGTGGGGGGAAGTCAGATACTTGCTGCCAGACTGCTGTCTCATCCCTCCACAGGGGTGGGCCTGCTCCCTGCCTCTGGGGACAATGGACAGGCTCCTGTAGGCGGAGTTTTCACCCTACTGATAATGTTCCTATGGAGACCCAGAGACCACCCCCTAGACCACCCTCTCATTGCTGTGTAGCCTATAGTGCAACCCCTCCCTGTGACGTATGTCTCTACCTGTAATTAGTGGGCTGGCTTGCCCCCAAAAGGTATATAGGTGTGAGCCAGCAATATAGATCTCTCTCTCTGACTCTGAGCTCCTTGCTGCTCACTCCCTGGTCACTCCCCTCTCCCTTGTTCCCTTCCCCTCCTTCCCTTCCCCCTCTCTCCACGTGGACCACCAAGCTGGGCTGAGGTGAGCAATGGTACCATGTAACATGCCTGACTGTATTCTTGTATTATCTCTCATGCTCTCGATGACTTTAATATAATGCTTATATATCTCAACTGTACAATTGTGCATTACTGAACCCAGAAGTAGTATTACCGAACCCGAGTAGTAGTTAATAGGAGTTGCAGTGGGTGGGGGCTGGTCCTCACCCTCCCTCCGCGCCATTTTTTAATTTCATACTACATTTGTCTTCTTGCACTGCTGCTTGAAGTATCTGCCCTTTGCCTTAAGTCTCCATTTCTTCCATTTGCCTTAAGTCTCATCTGACACCCGCTCTGTCTTTTCTGTCCTCCCTGTCATGCTAATGACCTTTTGCTCTCCTCAAGAATGGTGGTCTGGATGGCCTCCCAAGGCTCATCGGGTCCTCTGTCATTAGTGTTCAGTGAAGCAAATCGGTCCTTGAAATGATCAGGTGGGACAGACTCAAAGTCCTATTTTGGCTCTCATGGATTTAATTTTCTTCACTTTCAACCTGAATTTACATATGAGCCTGTCACACAGTTGACCCCTGGTCTCATTTTAGCTGCTGATATTGAGCTTCTCTCTTGTTTTTTCCCACAGATGTAATCAATTTGATTTCTGTGCCTTCCATCGGTAGAAGTCCATGTGCATAGCCACTGTTCGGGTTGTTGAAGAAGGTATTTGCCGTGAAGCTGTCATTGGTCTTACAAAATTCTATCGTGTGATCTTCAGCTTCATTTGTATCATTAAGACTGTGTTTTCCAACTTTTATATTCCAATCACCAATAATCATCAATGCATCTTGATTGCATGTTTGATCAATTTCCAACTGAAATTATTAGAATTCTTTAATTTCTTCACTGGCTTTAGAGGTTGTGCAAACATCTGAATAATAGTTGTATTGACTGGATTTCCTTGAAAGCGGATAGATGTACAGTGAACCCTCGTTTATCGCGGTTAATTGGTTCTAGACCCTACCGTGATAAATGAAATTCCACGAAGTAGGATTCCTTATTTGTAAATCAAATATTTTCGTAGTTAGAGCATAGAGGACATGAAAAAACACCCTTTAGTCACCATTACACTCGT